CTATTCTACTGTGTTCTTTTAAATGGTGAGAAATTTAGTTGAGTCGGACGACTTGTCGATTCATTCAAAGAAAGAGAAAAAATTGGGCAAACATTTCAAAAAAAATTCAGCCACGTTTTCGCGAACTATTGCAGTTTTGCAATGCGACCTATGACATTCGAAATATAACCGAAAACTACGCATTTTTTGTGCTTAGAAAATTGCTCGTAAAACGAGTGGTTTTCTCTTAAATTCAACATTTTTTTTTTTTTTTTCGAGAAAAAACAAGCACACTGTCGATTTTTTCCGTAATTTGGGAACTTTACAGACTGAAAATATATAAGAATTAGTAAGTTTAATGAGAAACAAGCTTACTTTCTCGACCAATTGCCAGAAAACGCCCCTTTACTCGAGAAAATTCAAGTAGCTTCAATTCTCGCGAGAATTACCGATCTTTGCACACGTGCGCTCAGAAAACAGTGGAGGCTAGAAAAAATGTATATGCCACAGTTTTTCGTGTCTTTTTTTTTTTCTCTTTCCTTTAATGGAAACAATTTTCTATTCAGATAATTAGTTTTCGAGTTATTTAAGAAAAAAGTACGATAAATCAAGAAAAAATTGTTTTGCAATTTTTTCAAAAAGTATTGCAGATTTCGCCACCCAACCCGTCTCATTCGGAACATAACTAGAAAATACGTATTTTTGTCATGCATATATATCTTCTCCCATTTCAAGTTTTCTTGTAAATAACTAAAAACCAGATGTTAGAGAACAAAAAACAAGCTTATCACCAAGTTGGAACTTACACTCATCAGGCTTAGGATTAATTAACATTTTTAAAGTATACCTTTTTGTGTATTTTTTTGTGCTCTTTCCAATGGCGAAGTTAGTTTTTTCAAATATATTGTTTTATTAGATGTTTTCGGAAAACCCGGAGAAAATCATATGGGAAAAAAAATTAAAAAAAAAAATACGCCTTCCGGTTTCCTGCGAATTCCCGAAAAATTATGGCAGATTTCGCCGCGGGACTTTTTTTATTTGAGAGCCAACAAAAAAATACGCAACTTCTCTCATTAGCACATATGTCTAACATTTATAATTTCGCCACAGCTACATCTTTTTTTGCTTTTTTTCGGAAAGATCACATCAAAATACATAAGTTCCACTTTGTTTCATCCAATTACAAATTAATGTAAGCTCGAAGGGGCTTTTTTTTGTTATTTAATTGGACTACTAGAGCTTGATCCCGAAGGTTGAATTCAAAGCGATTGTTCGCTCCAAATATCATTTTTATGTGCGCACGAATAATAATTATTAAATCAGTATTCAAAACAGTTATCTTTATAATCTAATCAACAATTAAATATCAATAAATATTAAAGGCATTTATCTAAAAACTCAAATACTAAAGAAAAAGGACACTCAGTTATAAATCTCACCTGCAAATCCTATCACCCACAATTCACTATAAATCAAGCTTTTCACAAACCGCACCTTTCTGAAACGCTAAAATAACAGAATGCATCTATTTAATTTCAAATTTCAAGTAATCTAAAACACTGGAAATCCATACCATGGGTTATAATAAATCAGTCCTTTTATTGTGATCTTTTCAAGTGCGGCTCGAAAACGCTGACAAAATAATATCAATAACCAGCTGTGCGTTGAAGCATCTTCTCATATTACCTTTTCCTAATACCAAAACATATAAAGAAACGAATTTTAAGAAAATTACAAACATGGACTTACATTAATAATAAGGAATGGTCCACAAAAAATCATTGAGCGTTTGCTTAGGTAATACTTGAACGCCATGTACATAAATTTTATAACAATATTTTGATTTGACTTTTAAAATATAGTACAATTTTAAATAACAGGTTTATCTATATATCTTCTACATATATAAAATTGTTTGTCCTGACTGACTGACCTATCAACGTACAGCCAAAACTACTATGGGAGGAAATGGAGGGAGGGAACTTTTTATGAAAGTCTTTGTTCTTTGAAGTTAGGAACATGAAAATTTGAATTACAATTGCTGAGCATAAATAAATAATGACGTGTTTTAAGGTTTTTGGATTTTTACATTTTAAGGGGGCAACCGGGGGTGAAAGTTTGTATGGGAGTATTGATTTTTTTTGTTCTCTATGAAGTTAGAAACATGAAAATGGGAATTGCAGCTAATAAATACAAATTAATAATGACATGTTTTAGGGTTTTTCGATTTTCACATTTTAAGGGGGGAAACCTGGGGTAAAAGTTTATTTGGAAATATCGATTTTTTTTAAAGGTAGGAACTTGAAAATTGGAATTGTAGGTTCTCATCATAAATAAACAATAAAGTGTTTCAGGGTTTTTACATTTTAACATTTTAAGGGGAGAATGAGGGGTGAAAATTTGTTTCATAGTATGTATATATTTTTTGGTTATTTAAAGTTTGAAACATAAAAATTTGAATTACAGCTACTGATTAAAAATCAAAAATTATGTGTTTCATTGTTTTTGGATTTTCACATTTTAAGGGGAGAAAACGGGGGTGAAAATTTGTATAAAAGTATGCATTTTTACAAATTATAATTGTAGCATAAACAAATAATGACGTGCTCTGTGGTTTTTAGATTTTTGTATGGTAGTATCATAAAAATAAACTAAAATTAAAAAAAATATTATTAATTAATAAAAGTTAATAAAAATTAATAAAAGTTAATAAAACTAATAAAAATCAATAAAAATTATTAAAAATTAATAAAAATTATTAAAAATTATTAAAAATTAATAAAAATTAAAGAAAAATTAATAAAAATTAATAAAAATTATTAAAAATTAATAAAATTATTAAAAATTAATAAAAATGAATAAAACTGAATAAAAATTAATAAAAGTGGATAAAAAAGAATAAAAATAATTAAAAATAAATAAAAATTAAAAAATATAAAAAATGAACAAAAATGAATGAAAATCAATAAAACTAATAAAAATTAATAAAAAAAGGAAGTAATGTATTTTTTTTTATATTAATAACACAGGCCATATTCAGGTGAAGGGTAAAGTATCTGCTATTGGAGAAGGCATATTACACTCTTGAAGAGTTCTTTCAGGATTCATTTAAGGTAGTTCACTCGTAAAACGACTTTTCTTAAGAATTCAATAAAATTGAAATATAAGGTTAATGAAAGTGTCTTTTATGTAACTAAAAAAAATTAAATTTTTTGATCGTCTGTGAAACGAGATATTAACAATCAAAATGTGCATAATTAACACTCTTGAAGCCTCTCATGTACACAAGTAATGCATTTATTTCAAGATATCTAGAAAACGGTTCTTACCATATTTTTTAAAAATTAATGTAATGTAAATCAAGAAGTTATAAAATTTTGTAAAGAAACGCTGAATTTTTTTGACCGTCTTAGTAAAAAGATATAGATTTTTAAAATAAAAATATTTTTAAAGCAATCGACGCGTAGTTGTGTAAAATTATTACAACTTGGTAAACGTTGTATACGCTGCAATCAACGCGTTGTATCAAAATAACACTCGATCAGCTAAGAGGATGTTATAACCTCGCGACGTTTTCTTGAAAAATTAATTCGTCCACTGTATTTGAGAACTGGAATCAGCGGTTCTGTTTGAACCAAAACAAACCCTTAAAATTAATATGAGGAAGTCACAAATTTGTATAGCAAACCATTTATATATTTATGAGGTTGCCGGATGGATTTTATTAAAATCCATATACAGGGTAGATGTTAAAGATGGAACCAAACCTATAGTGCTTAAACGGTTCAACATACAAAACCCAAAATTTCAGAATTTCAACTAAATATATTTGCGCATATTTTAGCCCAATTTTTTTTTTTTATATTTACAAAATTTTGAGCATGGCCGCCATCTTGATTTTTTTAAATAGCGGCATAGGTCATGTGATATACCATTTGAAAGGGTTTAATAGGGAGCGTAGGAGGCTGTGCATTTGACACAAGACGTCAAATATTATAACAATAACATTTATTGTTGATTAAGTTGCAAGAGACAGTGTTGAATAGTAAAATAATTTGTTTTGTTTATAAATTATCGTTGTCATAAAAATGTAAAATACATGTAATAGGGTTAACATTAAATTATATTGCTTCAATAAAATGGCTTAAGTTTACAAAAACGTTTATAAATATCCTTTCTGTTGTGTTTAGACCCAATGTGTGAAACATTTTTGTAATCAGGGTGTTAAACCCTTTCAAATGGTATATCACATGACCTATGTTGCTATTTAAAAAAAATCAAGATAGCGGCCATGCTTAAAATTTTGTAATTATAAAAAAAATAAGTTTTGGGCTAAAATATGCGCAAATATATTTAGTTGAAATTCTGAAATTTTGAGTTTTGTATGTTGAACCGTTTAAGCACTATAAGTTTGGTTCCATCTTTAACAGCTACCCTGTATATAAGCTTACATGTGTTTTGTACAGTCTCTTACAAAAATAAAATTGATTAGCATTGAGAATCGCGAACTATTGGTATTCACCATTAAGCGATATTTTTATGTACGACTGTCGCGAGTGAACTACCTTAAGTGATTTGGGTGTGTTTTATTTTATTTTTACTAAAATATTTCTATATATTTTATATCTATTTTAATGAATGTAAACAGAATATGTGATGCAAATAATTGATATATGCCCTTTTTTTTATATATATTTTAATTGACGCAGTATCTGTATATGTAAACATGTTTTCTGTATTTTGGGTTATGTGTTTTATAGCTTTTCGACAAAAAATTATTTTCGATTGATTTATTGATTGATCTATGATAGCTCTTCGTACTATCCTTTAATCAAACAAACTTTACATCAAAGATGACGTGCCATTTCAACCCAAGTTTTTTTTTTATTCGTACAATATATTTTTGTTTATAGAGAACAAACATACTAGGTACCTAAATACTATTTCTAAAATTTACAAAACATTGAATTTTACTACTTTAAATATTTTTGTTCTCACATAGGATAAAAAAGTTCACTTACCAGATTATCAATTTTAACCACCTTAAATAAAAATGGGATCGATTCGAACCCAGGACCTCTTATTAAGTTCGGCGGTCCGCCAAAAGAAAGAATGTCTCCATTTCGGAATATAGCAGTTCCTATTTGCTTTCCATTAATGAATGTACCGTTTGTACTCTAAAAATTAAAATTATTTTTGCATAAATTCTATAAATTAGTACGTTTTTTTATTTTATCAAAAAAAAAAACATACTAAAATAACGATAATTGTAGATATTTAAAAAATTTCAGGAATGTGTAAAAGTTACCATTATGTTGAAAGAATTTTTTTCTGTATACAAATTATGCAAATAAAATGTTTGAGATACATAATTGTTGCTTAATACCATTGTATAAGTAGTCCTAGTAAGTCAACCCAATACATTTATTTGTTTAATATACCAAAAGGAGACCACCACCAGGTGGCCAGTCTAATTGAGTCTCTTTAAGCTAGAGACGGCTGAAGCTTTTGCTAGTTTAAAATAGATAGCAGAATAAACTTATTGAAAGTTGCCATTTTTATTCCACTCTGTATTGTTTCCATTGGAATTAAAAATATGTCAAAGTAAAGAAAACTGATTTTCGTAATATTGTTAGGAGTTATTATTTCGCTGACAATAGCAAGTTTGTATAAATAGGCATTTTGGTTTAATTCTAGAAGACAAAATTTTAAAGATAATACCATAACTTTTTATGTGCAAAGAGAATAAGTGGCACTAGCCCCGGGTTAGCATATTTTCTTGAAAAAATGGCCCGTTTCGTCAAAAAAAAAATTATAAAATTTTTAAAAAAAAGAGCAACTAGAGAAGTAACATTATCAAAAATGATTGAAAAATATGACTACAATATCCTTTGTCAAGACGTTTCGTGTTCGTACCGAGGGATAGGTGATATTGTCTTCCTCGTCTACCTAGTATTGAAAATTGGACAAATACGGAATAAGGGGTACATATAGGATATATCTGAAATTTAGTATTGCTCGATGTTGCAAAGTGGGAATATTTATTACATGAGATAATGTTGTTTTTAATATAGAATTTGCAATATTTCAGTATATTTAAAAAAGTGTTTGATTATAAAAAGTTACGTTAAAGCATTATATTTATATAATGGGAATATATTTTCAAAAATAATTAATTGTCCCAAGAGTATCAACTAAGCTATTAAAATAATAAAATCTATAAATCAGTATTTTAAATAATATATTTAACAAATGTTTCACAATATATTAATGTTTTCTGACTAATCTGTGAAAGAAACGTCAAGAAAATACTTAGTTTTCCATACAAATTTTTCTTGATTTTGTTGCTGTCTGCTGTTGTAATGATGTGATAATTTTTTGCAGAAAGATGTCTTCTTTTTAACTTGAAATAAATAACGAAAGAAGATGATTTAATTTTTTATTCTATACAAATATAGAAAATATATTAAATTACATTATTTAACGTATAATAATATTTTGCAATTTTTATAATACTTATGAATGCTTTTATTCGTAACTCACGCTATAAGTTCAAGAGAATGAAATTTAAAATTTCGGTACTGGTTGAAACTCAAAAAGATCTTATATAATTAATATTTTATAAATTAACTGAGTAAACAGAACGGTTGTGTTTTATTACTCTCCGCCTTTGATTGATTCGCATTTTATGATGCTGTCGTTGAATGATGTAATCATATATTTGTTGTTGTCAACTTTAAGATATATTACATGACACGAGTTCGCGCATGACATATTGTGGTGTGGAATATATGAGCTGATTAAAATTTATTTTCGCGCGCTGATTTCGATCACCACAATGTGTCGCCATGATGTAGTATCAATCGGCGTAATATAATGTTCTTTTTATAGTATCATAAATATATTATAAGTTTCTCTTTTTCACTTCAACGATCTTATAAACAGACTGGGATGAGGTATGCGAATTCTTCTCAGTTAAAGTCTTAAATTCTTGCAAGGTTATGAGTTTTTGCTTTTAAAATAACTGGCGTGATATTTTATGAACCCTGACATCGGATATTTAAAAATATTTGAAATAAATCAGAGACAATAGCAAACAAGGACAAAAAATGTATTTTGTTGTTCGATGAGATAGCAATTAAGAAAACCATCGAATATATCAAAAAACTGGATGTCATTGAAGGATTTGAAGACTTTGAGAACAACAAAAGAAAGCCCATTTTTCCCGGATAAGCTTTAGTGTATGTTTCCAATGAAAAATTCCAGTAGCTTTTTTTCTAACCCAAAACGATGTCGATGCTTAATCCCTCGAAACTATTATTATTAAAGGTTTAACACATATTCGAGACTCAGGTTTGGAACCTATATGGATAGTGTGTGATTTATCTACAGTTAACCAAAAAGTCTATAGATCTTTGGGCATTACTGTAGACAATCCTAAATTTGCCATAGTAGAAAACAATTACTTTGCATTTTTTATGTGCCTGACCTAGTAAAATGCGTTCGAAATAAGTTTTTACAAGATTATTTTATCTTCAAGTAGCAAATTTATCCGATTTGTTGATGTTAAATAGGTTTATGAACTAGACCAACGTAGCAAATCTGGAAAAGCTTTATTAAAAATCACTTTAAAAAACCTTTTCCCAAATGCATTTAAAAAAATAAGCGTAAAGCTCGCTACTCAGTTATTTAACCATTCTGTAGATACAACCATTCAAACGGCAACAAGAACTGGAGAATTAATAACGGCTGTAAATACAGCCTATTTTATTGAACAACCTATTTGATGGCTTAAATAGTTTTTCTGCATATAGTTCGAAACCTTGTAACCTATCGTATTATATTGAGAATAAAGAGGTGATTTTAATGCTGTTACACAAGGATACAAACTTTTAAAGAATGTAGCTAAACAAACTGCCAAAGGTAAATTAACGAGAGCGGATTTATTCGGTGATTTTCTTCTTACCATAAATGCCTTTATAGTATAGTACATTACGAGTGTGGAAAATCACTTTTCACACAAGTGATGTACAATATTTTTCCTACGACCACAAAATAATTTCATCAAAAAATGTAAAACCAAATTATTATAATAATTAAAATGTATTTAAAAAAATAATCAACAATAATCGTATTTATTCAATTTTCATAATTTCTAAACAAATAAAAAAAAATTAAAAAACAAAAAAAAAATTCTAGCACAACCAGGATTTGAACGCGGTCACTCGACGATCTCAAATTGCAAAGTTGACGCTCTAACCAACTGAGCTAACAGGCCTTACGGTAATTGATTGATCTACTCGCTTATGTGTTTAACCAGAATAAAAAGCAAATATATCTTAATTATTTTAATAATAATTGTTAAAGATAAATATCTAGGATCTAATTTACAACAATTTCAATAATTTAACAATCATATTGATTTTAGTATTAATATGGACATTACATAGATCCAAATAGAAATTATGTGTTTGACATTTTCTGACAGCTACTGCGGAAAGTAGCATATTCGTACGCGGGTGGAAAGTAAATTCTTATTCATACGCGTGTGATATAAGGCACTTTCCATAGGACTAATTATACCTAACAAAATGTTTAATAATAATAAATTTATTATTTAATAATAACTAACCTCTGCACGTGTAGTTATTTCCCCCAAAAAAGATTATTATAAGAGGTTGGTACTTTGGTACTTAGGTTATTTAAAAATCATGTCTTTTATTAATTATAATAATATTATTTTATATTACCAATTTTTTTATCCAAATTACCTGCCTACATTCTATTAAAACCTATAAGTATAATAATTTTGTAAATTACGGTCCTGGATAACAAACATTCATACGATTTTATTATTTACATCATATTTATACGAAGATGAATAACAAAATTAGCGATTTACCTATATAAAGACAAAAATGTTAAATAGGTACTTACCGATGGCTTGAATTCGCGCTAAACATGAAATATGCGTAATATGGTAGACCAGCAACTTAAAGATCATCTAAGCGACTTCTAATAAATCGCAATTATAAAGCTAGTAAACTATTATTCGATAGTTGCCAGTTTTGTTAAATAGAGACGATGTACGATTCAAAAAAATTCGCAAAATGACAACGTTGTACGGTTGAACAAACAATCCCAACTTCTTTTACTGGCATCTAGAAAACTATTTTCGGCTTACGACTTTTTTTAATTTGCGCTACTGTCCGCTTGGAACCATCATGTGACGAGAATAATAAAATCAAACTTTGTCTCCATAAGCGTTAACTTACTAGATATATTTATACAATGTTAATACTATAATCATTGCATAAATATATCTAGTAAGTCAACGCTTATAAAGATAAAGTTTTATTTTATTATGCTCATCACATGGCGATTAAAGAATTTGCATACCTCATCCCAGTCTGTTTATAAGATCGTTAAAGTGAAAAAGAGAAAACTTGTAATATATATCTATCTATGATACTATAAAAAGAACATTATATTACGCCGATTGATGATACTACATCATGGCGACATATTGTGGTGATCGAAAACAGCGCGCGAAAATAAATTTTAATCAGCTCATGGCCAATCATCCATATTCCACACCACAATATGTCATGCGCGAACTCGTATCATGTAATATATCTCAAAGTTGACAACAACAAATATATGATTACATCATTCAACGACAGCATCATAAAATGCGGATCAATCAAAGGCGTAGAGTAATAAAACACAATGGTTCTGTTTACTCAGTTAATTTATAAAATATGAATTATATAAGATCTTTTTGAGTTTCAACCGGTACCGACCGAAATTTCAAATTTCATTCACTTGAATGAGTAAGTTACGAATAAAAGCATATTCAAGTATTATAAAAATTGCAAAATATTATTACACGTTAAATAATGTAATTTAATATATTTTCTATATTTGTATAAAAAAAAGAAGACATCTTTCTGCAAAAAATTATCACATCATTACAACACAACAGACAGCAACAAAATCAAGAAAAATTTGTAAGGAAACCTAAGTATTTTCTCCATGTTTCTTTCACAGATAAGTCAGAAAACATGTAAATTAATATATTGTGAAACATTTGTTAAATACATTATTTAAAAGATTGATTTATAATTTTATTATTTTAGTAGCTTAGTTGATATTCTTGGAACAATGAATTATTTTAGAAATTATATACCCATTATATAAATATAATGCTTTAACCTAACTTTTTCTAATCAAACACTTTTTTAAATATTATCTCATGTAATAAATATTCCCACTTTGCAGCATCGAGCAATACTAAATTTCAGATCTATCCTATATATACTCCTTATTCCTTATCTGTCCAATTTTCAATACCAGGTAGACAAGGAAGACAATATCGTCTATCCCTCGGTACGAACACGGAACGTCTTGAGAAAGGATAGTATAGTCATATTTGTCAATCATTTTTATACCTGAATTTACTTTGTTGATTTAATAATTATGACTTTATATTACGTCCAATTTAAAAATTATTTTTTGATCTTGTTAAGGACATGATTTACTACAACTTAATAGTACCTAATCGTTTAAAGAATAATGCATGTTTGATAATGTTAATTCTCTATTAAAAGTTGCCCTTTTTTTAAAAAAAATTTAATAAACTTTATAATTTTTTTTTGACGAAACGGGCCATTTTTTCAAAAAAGTATGCTAACACGGGGCTAGTGCCACTTATTCTCTTTGCACATAAAAAAATTATGGTATTATTTAAAATTGTGTCTTCTATGATTAAACCAAAATGCCTATTTATACAAATTTCTTGCTATTGCAACAGAGCAGTAACAGTAACAAGGATTTTATTTACAGTTAAAATATCTACAAATTCAGAATATGAAATAGTATAATCAACACTACCGGGATCTTCTCCTTTCGTGCCGGTCTAGAGTCCGACCGGACTTGTCCACCTATATCTACCCCTATTCTGATAAAAAATGATCAAATATTGCAGCCCTCACTCCTTACCATGCGATATTATTGAGGGATTAGGATTGTTTTGGAATCCGTAATGGGAATTTGTAAAAGGATATGTCGAGTTTGAGTTATGGTTTTTGTCCCCTGAAAAAGCTAGAAAAAACAGGGTTGTCCTTCTGTGTATAGTTGTTTGTTTAGTCTATTGTTCAGTAATACAACTCACAGGCAGAGTGCTCGATACACCGTCCATCGAGGCAACAATCGTGAATTTCACGCTTGTTGCTTCGATGATTGTTGCCTCGATGGCCAGTCTACCGTTCAGTCCACCGTCCGACTAGTTTTCGCGAGTATCTAGTCGGTGTGAGCTGTTGTTTAGTTTGTCTGAGATCGTTAAGGAGGAATGTTATTGTATTTTGTTATTATTATTGTATGTTTCTGTGTCTGTATATGTCCAGTTTCGCGTGTAAACAGCCGTGTTTTCTACGTACGCCGTCCCCGCGATAGATGCTAAAGATGTCATCTTTCACATTATCGGGGAGACACCGCATGTAGAAATTATCGGCTGTTTTTAGTACATAGTCCTTGATTCGTGGAGTCTCTGTTTGTACGTGCATGTCTTCAATTCTTGCATAGCGGTCGTAGCCCAGTGCTAGCCGAAGACATCTGTTCTGTGCAATTTGCAGTTTGTTATAGTGACAATTGGCCATCGAGCAGTAGACCAGACATCCATATGTTAATATCGGTCTTAAGATGGATTTGAATATTAAAAGTTTATTATCCAGGGTGACTTTGCTCCTCCTGTTTAATAGAGGATAAAGAGTTTTTATCGCTATATGACTTTCAGCCACCCTGTCTTTGATGTGCCGATCGAATGTCAGTCCCCTATATAATTGAAAACCGAGATACTTCATGCTATCCCTAGTGTCTACCTGTTGTCCCTGAATATTGAGCGGTATATGACTTCCCTTGACCTTCGCTTAGTGATGAGCATGCTCTCGGATTTTTGCAACAGAGCAATAACTCAACAATATTACGAAAATCAGTTTTCTTACTTTGAAATATTTTTAAATCCAATGAAAACAATACAGAGTGCAATAAAAATGACAACTTTCATTAAGTTTATTCTGCCATCTATTTTAAACTAGCAAAATCTCCAGCCGTCTCTAGCTTAAAGAGACTCAATTAGGCTGGACACCTGGTGGTGGTCTCCTTTTGGTATTAAACAAATAAATGCACTGGACTGACCTACTAGGACTACTTATTCAATGTTTATATTATTTTGAAGACTGTATTCATCAAATAGCAATGCCACTGGAATTCCAGGGATGAATTGATCAATTTATTTTTAGAATTCAATATCAAACATCATATAAATGAGTTTATAAGAGTAACAAATTCTAGCCAAACTTATATAGATAATATATATATATAAATTTTTTTTAAATAATATTTTCATTGTGTTCGACATAAAATATTTAAATTTAAACCATTAATTTTGATTTCACTAGACTAGACTACATCGTACGTCGCAACCCTTTAGACATACCAAATCTTAGCACCACGTTTCGTTTGTTTGGACTGCCTAATTATCATAATACATGAACACACACAGTTTATTACAAAATAGACCTAAATTGCTTATATTATTCATATTTATGAAATTAAAATAAATTAAACACTACCTAATAATCATTAATCTCAATGTTGGCTTACCTTATGATCAATTATAGAAAGTTCTTCATTTGAAAGGCGAATGGTTGCATGTTCCCTGGAAATTTTGGGGCTTAATGAGGACAAATCAGCATCTACCCTTCGACCGATAGAAAATACACTTTTATCAATATGCATCACAGTTCCATTGATTAAATTATCCAACCTCCACTTAACTGATGTCATTTTTGTAAATAGTTTCAGTCATATCTAAACAAACAAAAAAAAAAAAGGATGAAAAAAATGATTCCAAGAAAAAATATGTTACAATTACCTATACCGGGTGTTCAAATTACAGTGTTACAGTTAACTGCCGAAAACAGGCATTTAAAAAAAAAGTTTCAGACAAAAGTTTTATAGTTTTTTGGGGGAAACATTTTGACTAAATTCATTTTTTTATAGCTGACCATAATATGGACATTTCGAGGTGAACTTTGTTTTTTTTAAATGAGAATTCCATTTTTTATTTACATATTCTTAAAGTACATAAAAAAATAAGAAACTTTTGATGGAAATATTTTTTTATTTGATTTTTACTTTTTGAGTAACAGCTACTTGAAAATTTTGCTGGGCGAAAATAAAGTTGTCCATATTATGGTTAGCTATAAAAAACAATTTTAGCCAAAATGTTTTCCCCACAAAACTATAAAACTTTCGTCTGAAACGTTTTTTTTTATAAAAGGCGGTATTTAGCTGTAACACTTTAATTTGAACACCCGGAATATAGTGTCGGCTATCAAACGCTTTCCAAATGAAAACTACAAAGTTAGCATTAGTGAGAGCAAGTAAAGAATAATATCAACGTAGCCTATTCACATTACAGTAGAAACCACCGATATATGGACTCCCATAAAAGCACTTTGAATAAAAAAAATTCATAAAAACACCCAGATAAATAAACCATAAACTAATGATCTATCAAAAAATCTGATGTGTCCAACACATGACTTTCCTATCTAGTTATTATATGCTTTTTCCGGTTATTTTCTACAACCTATTGCGGCACCTCTATAAATGTTTAGAGGATAAACTAAATATATAGGTACATTTTCCACATACATCTAACTCGAAACATTTTTCTATAGATATTCATTGAAAACGAAAATATTGAAAAATTTAAATTTGACACTTTTCCTCCAATTTTTTCATTACCACCCATTTTAGAAATATCATGTAAAAACAAAAATTATAGAGATCGATATCGCAAACAACTTTTAGTTTAACAATTTTCTTAAAAATCAGAATTTTGCACATTTTGTCAAATTTCTCGAATACGGACCATTTCAGGAAAATTTGACGTGTAACAAAAATTATAGAAAATAATATTAGAAGTAACTTTTATTTGAACAATTTTCTTCTCCAAACATAAATAACAGATATATTCCATAAAATATAAAAACGGCCTCCTATTAAGTACCCTCCCAGATGTTCCGACTTTGTCCAAAATCTAATCATTTTACGTCAGGCCGAAATAAAACTTAAGTTTAAAATTTAATGTTTTTTATCCGTTTTTGAGTTTTCTTCAAATTTCAAAATTTACAATTTTCTCAAATTTCTCGAATACGGTCCATTTTAGAGAAATTATGTTTAGGATAAAAATTATAGAGAATTATATTACAAACAACTTTTATTTGAACAATTTTTATAAAAAAATATTTTTTTTACATTTTGTCAAATTTCTCGAATACGGACCATTTTAGGAAAATTTTGTATAGGACAAAAATTATAGATAATAATATAGGAATTAACTTTTATTTGAAGAATTTTCTTCCCCAAACGTAAATAACATATAATACAAAAATGACCACCTATAAAGTACCCCCCAGATGTTCCGACTCTGTTCAAAATCTAATCAGTTCATTGGACACTGGAACAAAGCTTAAGTTTAAAATTTGGTGTTTTTCTATATATCGGTTCATGAGTTATGCAACACACAGACACTCAGACATCATCGCGAAAATAGTCAAAACGGATTCAGGGGACCTCAAAACGTAAAAATCCGTCGAAAACTCGAGGTCGAAAAAAATCATGATTCCTATACTTTCCTTATATCTGTATACAGATAGGAAAGCAAAAATGTTTAATACAATTTATTTCCAGTACGTAAATTAAATTAACTAAATTAACTTTGTATGTTTACTTTGTTTCCTTTAATATGTATTTATTTTATTTAATTTTAACTTTAGTACTAAATGTCTTACTTTTATTACTGATTTTATTACTAATTCTATCAAGATTTTATTTACTCAACTGAATTTGTGCAGACTGACGATAATATGTAATATTTTTAAAAAAACTACAATGTATTAGAACTTCCTATATTAAATAAAGATTCTATTCTATATTAATAGTATGTAAGTTTTTTTTGTGATAATTTTAAAATGTTTTGTGCTGTAATATAGACAGCAAAATGAAACTGAACATTTTTTGCCTGAAAATGTGTATGAATAAAATGTATTTTTTCTGTATTCATCCCATTCTATAGGTAATTGGCTTTTAACTGTTAAGTGTGACCTAAACAAATAAATAATAAATACATTTCATGGGAATTCAGTAGCATTAATATAATAGCTTACTTCTACACACATATATTATATCTAGGCACAACCAATAACTATGTTTTGATTACATTGATTAAAAATTTAATTATAAAACATGTACATTTAATATTATTACTAATAGAAATAAATTATTGTTAATTGTTTTTATTTTTCTTTTATTTATTTGATATAAAAAAGATTTGTTTCTAAATGATCTACTTGAACTAAACAAAAATAATGTGTGACCACCAATTCAGTTGAAAGCATACAGTTTCAAAACATATCTACAATAAAAAAAGTTTTCAATCCTAAACGAACATATAATCATTTCCAGTAAAACATGTTTACAATACAGTGTATAAGGAAAGCTTAACATAAATAGAAAAAGAACACTGTTAAATAAATTTGTTTATTAATCATGCGAATCAATTATCTAAATTATTAATTATTGTGAAGTTACAGTGCATAAATGGTAAACATAAATACAAACCCTTTTAAACCATATGCCATTGAGAATGGAGTACCCCTTCTCTCTTCACACCAAAAGTGATGACCCGGCTTATACATAACAAAATACATTGAATGATATCTCTAGTCTTATACGCTCTAAGAACAAGGTCCTTACTCTCCATAACAACAAAGTTTTATTTGCAGATGATTTTAAAAGTTTCCAAATTGTTAAAACCCATTATGATGCCCATAGACTGCAGTCTGACCTTGATAATTTATCAGAACAGTGTTCTTTAAATAACATGGAATTGAATACCAATAAATATCATATCCTGCATTTTTATCTTTCCCACCTACCTCGAACTACATTTGTCTATAACAATGGGCATATCTTAGGCTCTATATATCAAATTAAAAACCTTGGAATTATTCTTAATCCTATCAAAACGTATTTCTCCCTATATATCTACTCTTATAACAGAGGACATAGGTATACATTGCATCCACTTCTAGCATTATATCAATATGCACAGGAATAAAAAAAGATATTTTGCATTTGTCATAGATGTAGAGAATAAAATGTAGTATTCCCTATAAATAATGAGTAAAACACTGAGCAAATCTGCAGGTGGTATGGGATTTGTTGTCTAATCTCATGTTTATAAAATATTTTAATTCTTAATTTTAGTTCTTTATACTTTGTGTGACTTTATCGAATTATCTATAATCATTAGATTCTAATGTGTAGAATAGTAAACTATCTAAAGCCGCAATTATCATTAGTATTTTATAAAAGATTGTTGCTGAAATTTTAGTATCAAGCCTATCAAAATTCCATGTTTTGATTTTAATGATGTTTTTATGTATTGCATATTATTATTTATAAACAAATTTTGAATTCGGCAAATATTTGATTTATTGTACCCGCCTTAATAAACAAAGGTAGAAGTTTAATATTTTTTGGTTAAATGTTTCATGTTTTAATATAAATGTTTCAAACGTGGTTTAACCTGTATTATTTTCATGTATTAACAATATTTAAAAGTACTTCTGTCTTACCTTTTTAAACTTATTACTTATTACTTATTGTTTAAATTCATCAACAAATGTCACGCTTCACGCTTACATATCAAATGTCAAAAACATATGTCAAATTTGAATTAATCAACTCTTCGGTTCGGTTTCTTCTTTCTTGTTACTTTTTGGGCCACCAGCCACAATATTTTTAATACGAGGTATACATTCAAAAATGGTAGAACAGCAATTTATGAAACCAGTTACAAAATGCCTTATGTGAATATTTGTGGGACGAGCAGAGCGACTAGATTATTTATAAAATTGTTTTCTTAAGAAATTATTGGCATATAGGCAACCAATATTACTCCTCTCTTGTATTGTTAGTTGCGTATGCATCATTTTATTGAAAAATAGAACATATTAATATTTATTCTCAACGATTTGTGATGTTTATATGGCTTATTAAAGTCATTTAGTTTTCAAATAAGTGAGTTATTTTGTTTTGTATTGTGTTTTAATTATTTCATGCTGATTTAGAATGGAAAATAAGAACCAATAAACAATATTATTACTAGGTTGTAAGTTTAACCAAATTCAATTTTTATAAATCAACCTGCTTTTCTTTAATATAAACTTTCAGTAATAAGGTAGGCATATTATTGAATTTGAAACCAAAAAAGTTTTATTGTTGTTTTATTTTCACAACTAGTGACATAATGAATTTTTCGAAACCATGCCAGTTTCATAACCCAGACAGCACACCAAATCCTTTCGATATCTACTGGACATCCCAATATCCACTGAATATCCAGTCCATGGTGGATATCTATTTTATATCCATGAGATGTAATTTATAGACATGCAAATGCCCATAAATAATAGTAATTATATAACAAATTATTAAAAAATTACGCCATTGTGCTCGCCATTGTGGCTAATAGTACCGTTCAGATATTTAAAATTAATTTTTTAAAGGTGTATTCAATGTCCCATGGACATCCACTAAATATATCAAAGTCTAGGCGCGAACGGAAACCATGGTGGATATCCACTAGATGTAATTTTTGATTTTGCCCACTAAGGAGAAAGTCATTCTTGGACCGGTTTCGTCCTTATTAGGACTAGAATTATTTCCTTTTTTAAGAATAACCCGCCTGGCTTTTATTCCACCTAGTCTCTGAACTAGGTACTACAGCGACCTTTGATTTTGCTTACTAAGTATAGATGGCGATACCATTTTCGCTCGTTGAATATCTACTCATGCTCAACCCGCCATAATTGAGTTCGATATAAATTGGTATTGCAATCATACTCCATTAGAGACTGGAGTCGAGAATTTCTATTTATTGCTGAAGAGTCCTAATGAGGATGACTTTCTCCTTAGTGGGCAAAATCAATGGCAGAGTGTTGAAAATATTTTCTATCTCTGCTGTTTTCTTTCGACGTTATTTAATAATCAATGGTTACTTATGAACTTCTACTAAAGATGCCCATAAAATATTTTGCTGAATATCCATAAAATATCTTCTATATCCTGTGATATATAGACGGACATTTGGATATCCATATTAAATCTACTGGATATATTGGATATCCACAAAATATATTCTGTGGATATCTCTGGGATTTTTTGTATTGTCTGGGAGATACCCATTAGATATTTTGCTGGATATCCATGGGATATCTTCTATATTCTAGATATAGACGGACATTTGGATATCCATATTAGATCCACGGGATATTTCTGATATCCTGTGGATATATTGGATATCCACAAAAGATATTCTGTGGATATCTCTGGGATTTGGTGTATTGTCTGGGTGGAAAATGTATATAATTAGTTCATAATCGGAAAAAGCCTGTAATAAATAGACAGGAGAGTAATATCAGATTTTTTTACCTAAGTTTTATTATGAGCATAAATAATGTCTTGAAATTCCTAATCCGACCCTGTGTCTAAAGCAAGCGCGACCTTCAGCTGGCCCCAATTCATGCTCAAAGGACGGAATATTCTGGGAATGCACTGATGAGGCTCGAGAAACGGATAGAACGGGCGGAGTGTGCCGTTGAGTCAGAGATGGAATTTTCGGGACCGTCTAGAGACTTCTAGTAGCAGAGTTGGACTTAATATAAATAACCGACTCATCGTCGGGCAGTTTAGTTTAGAACATTGTAATGAAAAGTAAAAGTGTAAGAAATGAATTAGAATTGTTAGTGTCTAAGTCTAAGTATTATATAAATTAAATAGTACGTCTGAAATAAATTGTAAATAGTGCGTTTTAAATAAATAAACTATAAATAAATTAAATTATCGTTACAATAACTAGTAATTCCAATATATTTTTATTTACCACCTCAATTTTTTTATCGATATTGATGGTAAATAGATTATGCGATGGACATTAAATTTAAATTGTTTATTGTTTTAAAGTTGTTCCAAAAGGTAATTTCTTGTCTAACTTGAGTGTGAATAAAATAAATTATAGTAACACGACTCCTGGGGTAGTATTCTCGAATCACGAATACCGACATTCGCATACGTGTTTTACAATGTGTCTCACTTTGTTGAACGAAAACCAAGTGAGACAAATCATAAATCTCGCATGCGAATCTATATTCGTCACTCGAGAATACTACCCCTGGTACCGGCTCTGTTACTTGCTAGCGGCATCCGTCAACGTCAACCCATGCCTGCATAGTGCTGCCGCCTAGTGAGTGACAGACAAGACACGAGAGTGAGATTGACCGCGATCCGAGATCGTTAGTAATCCATAATACAAATAATTATCCATATTTCTGTTTCTATTCTTATTTCACATATTAACGTTTAATTTTCTTAATACGCGCAGTGTTTTCATATTCTAGTCCCTCGTTACAAAACTGGCACCCCAACGTAAGACCGAACTTATCGAAAATCTTGAATTTCGCGAGTTCATAACAAAAACCGAACTTTAAAACGTGTATTAAGTGAAAATAGAACTATTTTGTGCAAATATCTGTAAGTGATGCGATTGATTCTGCGTTTGGTGAGTTCAATACAATTTATTATTACCAAAATCATTCAACCTTTATGGTTTTGGATAACAGTTAATCTGTTAGATATCATTGACTGCCGTTGTTTTATAACTATCTAGTGAAAGTACCGAAGGACCTTTTGAACAGATAGAGTAAGATAGCTAGTGAATAATTAGTAAATTACATTTTTATATAAATTTTTCCGAATAACCTAACGAAGTTCGCGCCAAATCGAGGCGTCCTTTGCAAAGTTCGCGCCGAGTCACAGAACGCCGTTCTGAGAACGGTAATTACAGAATTGACATTCTGTCAATCGTGGAGTTCCGACGTTGCCACGCTTCGAACGTTTAAAGCTAAATATAGTAATTGTGCACCGCGCTGTTGCCGGACTGTCTGAAAAAATCTTAGTTTTACAGATTTTATAAATTTAACGCAAAATGGCCCCCAAAAAGACTAATGATCATTGCTTATATTAAACTGATTTAAACTTCCTTTATTTATATGATAAAAAATTTGATGTTATTGGAAGCTTTTACATTTTTTAATACACAGTGAAACAATAGTTTTTGTTTCTTTTCTAAATTTGTATAGAAAAACTATTTCTGAATCCATGTTTCAATTTCCCGCCCTAAAGCATTTTTAAATTTTCTCGCTATTTATGACTGAATACGCAGAGCAGTAAGAAAAGAAGAAAATTTACTAGTGACGCCATCATAGACTGGTTGGGGTTACAATCGCCCAAACAAATTTTAACAAACAAAAAAAAATACATAGAGTTACACATGGAGGAAGGATTATTAGAGTTACATATCTCGCTGGATTGTCTCTGGTATTGTTTTATTATAATACATTTATTTGATAATGACATAAAGGTCACCACCTTATAGCTGTTGCCGTTTACAATGCTATTGCAGAATCTTAGAATTGCAGAATACTGTAAATTTATTGTTTTTTTTTAATCTTTTTGTTAGACAGCGCACTAATATGGATACGGCGGAGTTTGACTACTTTCTAATAGATGTCGATAGAAATTCGAAATACATTCAACAAGATTTTTATATTAATATGTCTCATTGTATGCACGACTAATTAATTTTCCATTTATTAACATTTATAATTAAAAAGATTTTGTTCCCTATGACGAAAAGATAAAAAAAGTAAGATACCTTACGAAACATTATTAAATATTGTTACCTAATATTGTTACCTAATATGTTCTTATATTATTATTTACAAACTTTAAAATGTGTCAGGATGGCCGAGCGGTCTAAGGCGCCAGACTCAAGGTTTACCTTGCCTGCTTTTATACAGGTTTCGAGCGTTCTGGTACACTCTGTGTGCGTGGGTTCGAATCCCACTTCTGACAATAACTTTTTTGCTTTTTTTTTCTCTTTAAAGTGAATAAATTTAAATCAGAAAAATTATATATATTTTTTTTAGGGTAAAATTTGATATTTATTATTTTCGATGCGAATATTTAGTAAGTAATTATTAATTTTTTGTACCTTAAAAAATTAATCTAAGTAGTTTTATTTTTATTTCTTATATAGATACCTATTTATCTTATTTCTTATGATAATGTGATTACCTAAATTTTAAATTACAGCTCTTATTTATCATTGTAAATTCTTTGTAAATACACACATGTTTATAAAAATTATCTCTGATCAAAACTATATACTATAAAGATATCTTGAACCATACCTTTGGTCCATGTGGATCAGAAAGTGATATGGAAAGGTTACATTAAGAAAAACCTGAAAATCAGTTTTTTGCCTGAAATAATGAAATAAATAGGTATGTACCTGTCTATTTTTCAATAAATTCAGACAACTTAAATTATGGCATTTAAAATTAATCAAAAAATAAAGATTATTACATCAATATTTAAGTCTGAAGCTATATAAAAATCCATTTATCTCTACCTCGCAATCTTCAGTTGGTTCAGCGTTGTTCGTTATGATCTTGACCATTTTTAAGTAGGTCAATGTTAAGCTCTTATTCAATCTTAATTATTTTCGCTGACTCGAGTCAAACGGTTGTGGGAACGACTTCTTCGCTCAATAACCCTTCCAGCCACGTTTTTCTTCCATCTATAGAGATGGT